AAAGTAAAACTATTTGAGCTGTCATATTGGTATTTGTATTTGTTGGTAATACAAGTGTGTGTGTGTGTGTGTGTGTGTGTGTGTGTGTGTGTGTGTGTGTGTGTGTGTGTGTGTGTGTGTGTGTGTGTGTGTGTGTGTGTGTGTGTGTCAACCCAAAATTCACTAAGTAACCCATCAATACATAACTCGAGGTGTGTGTGTGGTTCATACATTACATACATACATATATATATATATGCAAGTAAATCACTGTAGGTGTGCGTGATCAGATATATGCTGATACACAAAACAAGAACACAGGATTTCAAACGCTTTCGTGTAATTCACATCTTCAGGGTGAATTACGAAAGCTGAAACATAGAATGGAGGAAACTGCAGCGGGCCTATTGGCCCATACTGGAGCAGATCCGTTTACACTAACCCTATTGCTCATATAAGCATCCAACCTATGTTTGAAGCTATTCAGTGTATTCGAGTTAATGATATTTGGTAACTTGTTCCATTCGTCCACTACTCTGTTTCCAAACCAGTGTTTACCTATTTCGCGCCTAAATCTAAATTTGTCTAATTTAAAACCATTGTTACAGAGTTCGCTCCTGGTTGGATAGTCTGAGTACTCTGTAATGTCCCTTTTGGCTGACTCCATTTATACCTCTATCCAGTCGCTCTACGTCTCTCGAGGAGTGCAAATTAAGATGCTTTAACCTGTCTCTATACTCAAGGTTCCTAATGCCTGGGATTAGTCTTGTCATTCTCCACTGAATTCTTTCCATTCTGTAATACAGGCCAGAACTGAACTGCGTAATCCAGGTGTGGTCTCTAAGTGCAAGATACAGTTTTGGGATGACCTTGCTAGTCTTGTAACTAACACTCCTTTGTATGAGCCCAAGTACTTTATTAGCCTTGTTGAGCAACACATTGTTTACTTGGCAAGGTTCCTACTTATCATTACTCCTAAATCTCTCTCGCAATCGGATTTCTCTATGGCATCATTGTTCATCTGGTATCTGGTTTCTGTTTACATCTCCTATATAGTACTTTACATTTGTCGTTGAATTTCATCTGCCATTTTCAGACCATTCGAAAAATTTGTTTAAATCTTCCTGTAGTTTTGCAGAGTCCTCGTCAGATTAACACGTCCTATTTTAGTGTCATCAACCAAAATTTACTTATGTTGCTGTCTATGCCGATATCTATGTCGTTTATGTATATAATAAATAATAATGGTCCAGAAGTACTGAGACCTGGGGAACTCCACTAGTGACGTTGCTCCAATGGGACTTAGTGCCGTTAATGCTCACTCGCTGTTTCCTGTCCTGTAACCACGCCCTAATCCATTTAAGGATATTACCTTTGATGCCATGTGCTTCTACCTTTCTAATTAGTCTTTCGTGGGGGACTCTGTCGAAGGCTTTGCTAAACTCGAGATATACCACATCATAATTGTGCCCTTCGTCCACCTATTTGAAAACTCGTCCATACATACATACATACATACATACATACATACAGCTCGAAGCATTCAACATGAATTTGAGTAATGGCATGTACAAACTGGAGAATTTTGTAATTAAGAAGATTGCGGTGCTATTTAAAGATTAGTAGGGTCATTACCTAATACCTGACCATTGTGGACCTGATCTCACCTTCCTCTGTATATATACACCTTGTTTTGTACTTCCTTAGTCTGTACTCACCCCTGAAGATGAATTACACGAAAGCGCTTGGGAACCTGTGTTTTCTCTTTCCCACACATACACACCATCACCTACCACTATTTCACTATCACCTATCATCACACCACTACATCACCTACCATCACACACTACTAATTAATTACACTGTTACTACCACACTACTATCACCTACCACTACAGCTGCTTCACCACTTGTTTATCACCTACCATCACACATACTACCACTATCATCTGGTCATCACTACTACTATCACTTCCACATCACCTACTATACATACACACACACATACATACATACACATACATACTTTCACATACATACATACATACATTCAATTATGTGTATAGAAGCTGCTATTCTATATATGTCAGCATAAATAATGATCCAATCAATTTTCGTTGCGTTGTTCAATTAGACAAAAATGGGGTGCCAGCGCGAGAGAAACCCTGAGGTTGACCAGCAGGTAGTATTCAGTAGCGACCTGGCACCCGTCCTGACCAGCAAAAAGTGGCACAGGTGTCAATAGGTAAAGGTTCTTCAGGTATGATAACTCGGTCGTACTTTCCAGGTGATACAAGTGACCTGTTGTACCTGTGTTTACCTGATATCTTGTGACCTGGTTAGTAAGCTCAGGTACTTAGTCACTGTGTGTAGATAGCAAATCAAAAAAGCAAAATTATCATATCGATCACATCAAATCTGTGGTCCTGTAGCTAGGGAGATTAACCCACACCTCACAGACAACACAGGTGAGGATTGTGGTGATGGTAGTGGTAGTGGTGGGTGGTAGGTGATGTAGTGGTGGTGGTAGGTGATGGTAGTAGTGGTGGTGGTAGGTGATGCAGTAGTGGTGGTAGGTGATGATAGTGTTAGTAGTGTCGGTGGTAGGTGATGGTAGTGGTAGTAGTGGTGGTGGTTGGTGATGGTAGTGGTGGTGGTAGGTGGCAGTGTGGTAGTAGTGTCGGTGGTAGGTGATGGTAGTGGTGGTAGTGGTGGTGGTGATGGTAGTGGTAGTACTGGTGGTGGTAGGTGATGGTAGTGGTAGTAGTGGTGGTGGTGGTGGTAGGTGATGTAGTGGTAGGTGAGTGGTGGTGGTAGGTGATGGTAGTAGTAGTGTGGTGGTGGTAGGTGATGGCGGTGGTAGGATGGTAGTGGTAGTAGTGGTTTGGTGGTGAGAGTGGTGGTAGTGGTGGTGGTGGGTGGTAGAGATGGTAGTGGTAGTAGTGGTGGTGGTAGGTGATGGTAGTGGTAGTAGTGGTGGTAGTAGGTGATGGTAGTGGTGGTAGGTGATGGAGGGTAGTAGTGTGTCGGTGGTAGGTGATGGTAGTGGTGGTAGTGGTGGTGGTGGTGGTAGGATTGTAGTGGTAGTAGTGCTGGTGGTAGGTGATGTAGTGGTAGTGGTGGTGGTAGGTGATGGTAGTGGTAGTAGTGGTGGTGGTAGGTGATGGTAATGGTAGTAGTGATGGTGGTAGGTGATGGTAGTGGTGGTAGTGGTGGTGGGTGGTAGGTGATGGTAGTGGCAGTAGTGGTAGTGGTAGGTGATGCAGTGGTAGTAGTGGTGGTGGTAGGTGATGGTAGGTGGTGGTAGGTGATGGTAGGGTAGTAGTGTTGGTGGTAGGTGATGCAGTGGTAGTAGTGGTGGTAGGTGATGGTAGTGGTAGTGGCGGTATGATGGAGTGGAGTAGTGGTGGGTGGTAGGTGATGGTAATGGTAGTAGTGATGGTAGGTGATGGTAGTAGTGGTGGTGGTAGGTGATGGCAGTGGCGGTGGTGGCAGGTGATTGGCAGCGGCAGTAAGTGTTGGTGGTAGGTGATGTGCAGTGGTAGTAGTGGTGGTGGTAGGTGATGCAGTGGCAGCAGTGGTGGCGGTAGTGTAGTGATGGCAGCAGGCGATGAGTGGTGGTGGTGGTGGCAGGTGATGGTGCAGTGGTAGTGGCAGGCGGTGATGGTAGTGGTAGTAGTGTCTGGTGGTCAGGTGACGGTGGCAGTGGTGGTGGTGGTAGTGTGATGGTAGTGGTAGTAGTGGTGGTGGCAGGTAACGGTAACGGCAGTAGCGGTGGTGGCAGGCGATGGTGTGGCAGTAGTGGCACTGGCGGTGGTAGTGATTGCGCAGTGGCAGCTGCGGCGGCAGGTGACGGCAGCGGCAGCAGCGGTGGCGGAAGGCGATTTGCAATGGCAGCAGTGATGGTGGCGGCGATTTGCAGCAGTGTCGGTGGTGCGTTGTGCAGCGGCGGCGGCAGGTGACGGCAGCGGCAGCAGCGTGGCGGCGGCGATTTGCAGCGGCAGCAGCGGCAGCGCAGGCGATTTGGCAGCGGCAGCAGTGGCGGCTGCAGGCGATTTGCAGTAGCGGCAGCGCGAAGTGGCGGCGGTGACGGCAGCGGCAGCGGCGGCGATTTGCAGGGCAGTGGGCTGCAGGCGTGACGCGCGTGCGGCGGCGGCGGCGGCATGCGACGGCAGCGGCAGCAGCGGCGGCGGCAGGCAGCAAGGCAGCAGCGGCGGCGGCAGGTTTACGCAGTAGTAGCAGTGGCAAGTGGCGGCGGCAGGCGACGGGCAGCGGCAGTGGTGGCCTGGCGGCAGGGACGGCAGTGGTGGAAGCAGAGCGGCGGCAGGCGACGGCAGCGGCAGCAGTGGCGGCGGCAGGCGATTTGCAGCGGCAGCAGTGGTGGCGATTTAAGTGGCAGCAGCAGTGGCAGGCGATGGCAGGCAGAAAGTGGCTGTATAGCATCTGCGGCGGCAGCATGGCGGTGGCAGGCGATTTCAGCGGGTAGCAGTGGCTGGTGCGCGATTTGCAGCGGCGCAGTGATTGCGGTAGGCGATGGCAGTGGCGGCAGGCGTTTGCAGTAGCAGTGGTGGCAGGCGCACGGCGGTGGCAGCAGCGGCGGCGGCAGGCGACGGCAGCGGCAGCAGCGACGGCGGCAGGTGATGGCGGTGGCAGGTGACGGCGGTGGAAGAATGGTGGTGGCAGGTGATGGCAGTGGCAGGAGTGGCGGCGGCAGGCGATTGCAGTGGCAGTGGTGGTGGTGGTGGCAGGCGATTTGCAGTGGCAGTGGCAGGCGACGGCAGCGGCAGTAGTGTCGGCGAAGGCGATTTGGCAGCGGCGGCAGCGGCGGTGGTGGCGGCGGATGTGGCAGGCGATTTGCAGCGGCAGCACTACTGGTGCAGCACGGTGAAAAGCAGCAGCGGCAAGTTTTGGCAGTGATGCAGTGGCAGCAGTGCGAGTGGCTGCAGGCGTGGAGTGTCGGCAGGCGACGGCAGCGGCGGCAGTGGCAGGCGATGGTGGGCAGGAGTGGTGGTGGTGGTGTGCTAGTTTGGGCAGTAGCGGCGGTGGTGGAGATGGCATCGGCAGCAGTGGCGGTGGCAGGTGACGGCAGTGGTGGCGGCAGGCGTTTGCGTGGCGGTGGTTTGGCAGGTGACGGCAGTTGCGGCGGTGGTGGCGTGTATGCGAGCAGTAGTGGCAGCAGTGGCGGTGGCAGGCATGGCAGCGGCGGAGTAGTGGCGGTGGCGGCGGCAGGCGACGGCAGTGGCGAGGCGTGGTAGGTAAGGAGCTTGCAGCAGCAGCAGTGTCGGCGGCAGGCGACGGCAGTGGCAGGCCTGCGAGCGACTGTGGCAGCAGTGGTGGCGGCAGGCGACGGCAGCGGCAGTAGCGGTGGCGGCAGGCGACGGCAGCGGTAGGGTTGGCGCGGCGGCAGGCGACGGCGGTGGTGAGTGGCGGTGGCAGGTGACGGCAGTGGCAGGTGATTTGCAATTGCAGCAGTGGTGGTTGGGTGCGGTGGTGGTAGTGTGGTGCGGCAGAGACGGCGTGGCTAGCAGTGGTGGTGTGTGATGGCAGTGCTGGTCGTGCGGTAGGTGACGGCAGTGGCAGAAGAAAGTGGGTGCAGGAGATGGTGCGGCAGTGGCAGGCAGGTGACGGCGTGGGCAGCAGTGGCGGCGGAGCGACTGCAGCGGCAGCAGTGGCGGCGGCAGTAAGGCGGCAGCGGCAGCAGGTGGCGGCAGGCGACGGCAGCGGCAGCAGTGGCGGCGGCAGGCGATGGCACGTGGCGGCGGCAGGCGATTTGCAGCAGCGGCGGCGGCAGGTGATGTCAGCGGCAGCAGTGCTGGTGCAGACGGCAGCGGCAGCAGTGGCAGTGGCAGGCGATTGTGCAGCGGCAGCAGTGGCGGCGGCAGGCGATGCGGCAGTGGCAGCGGTGGCGGTGGCGGCAGGGTGACGCAGCGGCAGTGGCAGGCGATGCAGTGGTGCAGTGGTGGCGTGGCGTGCAGTGGCAGCAGTGGCGGGAGACGGTGCAATGGCAGCAGTGATGGTGGCAGGTGTGGCAGCAGGCGGTGCAGGTGACGGCAGCGGCGGCGGTGGCAGGTGACGGCAGCGGCAGCAGTGACGGCGGTGCAGGCGATTTGAGCGGCAGCAGCGGCAGCGGCAGGCGACGGCAGCGGCAGCAGCGGTGCGGTGTTAGGCAGCAGCGGCAGTGCGGCGGTGGCGGCGGCAGGCGATTTGCAGTGGCAGCAGGCGACGGCAGGCAGCGGCTGCGGCAGGCGATGGCAGCGGCGGGGCGGCGGCAGGCGACGGCAGCGGCGGCAGCAGCGGCGGCAGAGGCGACGGCATGCGGCAGCGGCGGCGGCGGCAGGCGACGGCAGCGGCAGCAGTGGCTGGCGGCAGGCGACGGCAAAAGTAGTAGCGGTGGCGGCAGGCGACGGTGGCAGCAGTGGCGGTGGCAGGCGATTTGCACGGTAGCAGTGTGGTGGTAGGTGATGGTAGGGGCGGTGGCAGGTGATGGTGCAGTGGCGGGCGGCAGGCGACGGCAGTGGCAGCAGTGCTGGTGGTAGGCGATGGCAGTGGTAGCAGTGGCAGTGGCAGGCAGACGGCAGTGGCAGTATGGCGGCTTTTGGGTAGCGCATTTGCAGCAGTGGCAGTGGTGGCGGCGGCGGCGGGCGACGGTAGCGGCAGTGGCAGGTGATTGGCAGCGGCAGAGCGTCTATGGCAGGCGATGCAGGCAGTGGTGGCGGTGGCGGCGGTGACGGCAGTGGCAGCAGTGGCAGCGGCAGGCAACGGCAACGGCGGCAGCGGCGGCGGCAGGCTGACGCAGGCAGTAGTGTAACTGGTGGCGGCAGGCGATGCGGCGGCAGTAGTGCGGTGGCAGTGATTGCAGCGGTAGCAGCAGTGAGGCGACGGTGGCAGGGGTGATTTGCAGTGGCAGCAGCGGCTGTGGCAGGCGACGGCAGTGGCAGCAGTGGTGGTGGCAGGCGATGGCAGTGGCAGCAGTGCTGGCGGCAGGCGATGGCGGTGGCAGCAGTGGTGCTGCAGGCGATGGCAGTGGCAGCAGTGCGGTGGCGGTGGTGCGACTGTGCAGTGGCAGCAGTGGTGGTGGCAGGCGACGGCAGCGGCAGTGCGATGCGGCAGGCGACGCAGTGGCAGGCGATGATAAAGTATAGTAGCGGCGGCGGTGGTATGAGATTTGCGGCAGCAGCGGTGGTGGCGGCGATTTGCAGTGGAGCAGCAGATGGTGGTAGGTGACGGCGGTGGTGGTAGGTGACAGTGGCAGTAGTGGCGGTGGCAGGCGATGTGCAGTGGCAGCGGTGGCGGCGGCAGGCGATGGCAGGGCAGCAGCGGTGGCGGCAGGCGATGGCAGTGGCAGTAGCGGCAGCGGCGGTGCAGGCATTTGCAGTGGCAGAAGTGTCGGTGGTAGGCTTTGAGTGGTGTGCAGTAGCGGTGGCAGGCGACGGTAGTGGCAGTGTGGTGGTGGCAGGTGATTGCAGCAGTGGCGCAGGTGACGGCAGTGGCGGTGGCTGGTGGCAGGTGACGGTGTGGTAGCAGTGTTGGCTGAGGTGATGGGTGGGGGGGTGGGTTTGGTGGTGGGGTGGGGTTGCAGGCGGTTTGCAGTGGCAGCAGAGGCGGCAGGTGACGGCAGTGGCGGCAGGCGATGGGTAGTGGTGAGCAGTGGTGGTGGTGATAGGTGATGGCAGTGGCAGCAGTGGGGTGGCAGGTGATGGCAGGTAGTAGCTGATGCAGGTGATGGCAGCGGCGGTAGGTGACGACAGTGGCAGCAGTGGTGGTGGCAGGTGATGGCAGTGGCAGCGGTGGCGGTGGCAGGCGAGGCAGCAGTGGCAGTGGTGGTGGTGGTGGTGGTGCGATGAGCGGCAGTGGCAGGCGATTTGGTGAAAGTGGCAGTAGTGTCGGTAGGTGATTTGCAGTGGTGGTAGTGGTGGTGGTGGTGGTAGTGATGGTGGCAGGTGGTGTGCAGTGGTAGTACTGGTGGTGATGGCAGTGGCAGTAGTGGTAGTGGCAGGCGATGCAGTGGTGCGGCGGCGGCAGGCGTTGGCGGCAGGTGATTGTGCAGTGGCAGTGGCAGGTGACGGCAGTGGCAGTAGGGCGTGGCGTAGTGGCAGGCAGAGCAGATGGTGGCAGCAGCGGCGGCGGGTAGCAGGCGGGCAGCGGCAGCAGTGGCGGCGGCAGGCGACGGCAGTGGTGGTGCAGGCGACGGCAGTGGTAGCAGTGGTGGCAGGTGACGGCAGTGGTGGCAGTGGCGGTGGCGGTGGCAGGCGACGGCAGGTGGCAGCAGCGGCGGGTGGCAGGGAACCTGCAGTGGCAGTAGCGGCAGTGGTGGCAGCAGGTGATGGCAGTGGCAGAGCCGGTGAGAGCAGCGCGGTGGCAGGTGACGGCAGTGGCAGTGGCGGGTGATGGTGGTGGCAGTGCGGCGGCGGTAGTGATTGCAGCGGCAGTAGTAGGGCGGCGGCAGGTGATGGCAGTGGCAGGAGTGGTGGTGGCAGGCGATGGCAGCGGTAGCAGTGGTGGTGGTAGGTGATTTGCAGTGGCAGGTGATTTGGGTGGCAGGAGTGGCGGTGAGGTGACGGCGTAGCAGTGGTGGTGGCAGGCTTATTGGCAGTACAGCAGTGGTGGCGGAAGCTGGATGGCAGTGGTAGCAGCGTCGGTGGTAGGCGGAGGCAGTGGCAGTAGCAGTGGTGGTGGTAGGCGATGGTGGGCAGAGTGCCAGGTGGCAGGCGATGGTGCAGTGGAGCAGCAGTGGCGGTAGGCGATGGTGTGGCAGCAGTGCGGTGGCGGTGATTTGCAGTGGGCAGTAGTGGCGGCGGCAGGTGATTTGCAGTGGCAGTATGGTGGTGGCAGGTGATTGCAGTAGTGTGGTGGGGTGATGGCGTAGTGGCGGTGGTGGGATTGCAGTGGCAGCAGTGTGCGGGTAGGTTTGCAGTGGTAGTAGTGGCAGTGGCAGGTGATGGCAGTGGCAGTAGCGGTGGTGGTAGGTGATGGCAGTAGGGTAGTGGTGGTGGTGGTGGCAGGTGATGGCAGTGGCAGTGGCAGGTGATGCAGTGGCAGTAGTGTCGGTGGTAGGTGATGTGTAGTGGCAGTGGCAGTGGTGGCAGGTGATGCAGTGGTAGCAGTGGTGGTGGCAGGTGATGGTAGTGGCAGTAGTGGTGGTGGCAGGTGATGGCAGTGGCAGTAGTGGTGGTGGCAGGTGATGTGCAGTAGTGTTGGTGGTGGTGATGGCAGTAGTGGTGGTGGTAGGTGATGGCAGTGGCAGTAGTGTTGGTGGTAGGTGATGCAGTGGCAGTAGTGGTAGTGGTAGGTGATGGTAGTGGTAGTAGTGGTGGCGGTAGGTGATGCAGTAGTGGTAGTGGTGGTGGTAGGTGATGGTAGTGGTAGTGGTAGGTGATGGTAGTGGTAGTAGTGTCGGTGGTAGGTGATGGTGGTAGTGGTGGTGGTGGTGGTAGGTGATGGTAGTGGTAGTAGTGGTGGTGGTAGGTAATGGTAATTGGTAGTAGTGGTGGTGGTAGGCGATGGTAGTGGTAGTAGTGGTACTGGTGGTGGTAGGTGATGGTAGTGGTAGTAGGTGGTGGTGTGAGAAGGGAGTGAGTGGTGGTGGTGGCAGATGGTAGGTAGGTGATGGTAGTGGTAGTAGTGCTGGGTAGGTGAAGTGGTGGTGGTGGTGGCAGCATTGTAGTGTAGTAGGGAAAGTGTGTCTGCATGGCAGTAGTGGTGGTGGTAGGCGACAGTGGTAGTAGTGGCACTGGTGGTAGTAGGTGATGGTAGGTAGTACTGAAAGAGAAAACATCCCTGTAAGCGAAGACGAAGGCATCAGGTTCCAATGTAACTACATCCCCAATACTGTCCTGTTCGGAGAAAATAACAGGAGAGATGGTGGAAGTAAGGCACTGAAGACTGAGGAGGAGCGGCTCCTTCAGGTCTGGATGCAAACGGTTGGAGAGTCATCCTCAGCATAATTCCAAGCTGGCCCTATAGCAAGCGATCTTGCACCAAGATGCCGCCTTTGCAAGAAAAGCTATATCTCTTCTTGTTATCATTTCAGGTTCCCTGACACCTGCCGCCGGATTTCTCTGGAAAAGAAACCGCTGTAGACCTATAGGGGTGGGGGAAGTGCTGAGGCGGATCATTTGAAAAATGCATAATGAGGTGGTAAAGGATGATGTCAGGGCAGCAGCAGGGAACCTACAAGTGTGTAAGGGCCACCAGGCTGGCGGGAGGCCGCCATTCACGCTAAGTGAGATCAAGATATCGGAGCAGCGTGATTGTGAGGCCGTTCTCTGTGGATGCTTCCAAACGCATTCAACATACCTTAACAGCAAGTACAAATGCAAACAAAACATCAAGATCAAGTGTCCAAGCTTACGATGTATGTTGAAGAAATTGCATAGGAATCCATCAGACTCTGTTATAGTAGCCAAGGCTTCAAGAGGTGATACTATCTACAGTCAAACTGAGGGAACAAACATTGAAATCTCGTTGGAAATGGCAATGTATGCATTGGCCCATCAGTGCTCCAACAAGAAATAAAATGGAAACAATCGGGGTCAAAACAAGGGTATATGCTAATGACCTTATGCAGAGCAGGAAAGGAGGCAACAAAAAAGTGGTGGGAATTAGGTAAACATCGAGGTCTACAAATAGGGTACCACCCAAACGCCAGCAAGCTCTTCCTTATCGTGAAGCCAGAACATTATGAACGGGCAATGGAGATTTAAGTGAAGTGAGGTCATAATAACTAAGGAATGCCAAAGACATCTAGGCGTAGTAATTGGCACTACGGACTTCAAGACCTAGGCACGAAGCGGAAAGGTGAAGAGCGGGTTAGTGAAACCAAGTTCTGTCTGAGATTGCTAACATATTACGCGGCCTTTGCTGCATTCACCTCATGAGTCACATCGTTGGAACTACCTGATGCAATATCCTTGATGCTATCGACCCCTCCTCTACCCCTCTGGAAGAAGTTATCAGTGTCACCTATTCTCAATTAGTGAAACACCCTGATTCTAACCCCAGAAAGTAGCATTTTGCAATTTCCACCAAGACACTGGGAGGATGGGGACCAATCAATCCAGAGGAGATTGTTGCCACCTCGAACATCAAATTACTTAAGCTTCACGGCAGCCTCACGACCACATAATGCCCAGAATGCACAGGAGTGTGTGGATACCAGTGAAGCAAATGATCGGTATCCAGACATGAGATCAGATGCAGCACTGCCAATATGATAAGATGCAAAAACCTGCTGGAGGTACCAGAAAATCAAAAGCAGCCATAACTTGTGGAGTAGGGTGCCCTGAACTGGTTAACTACGTTACCGATAAGGGCAAATGCTTTCTCAGTCTAATAAAACAAGAATTTACAGATGCTATTGCTCTAAGGCAACACGGCCTGCCAGTAGGAAGGTTTGTCCTCCCAATGCGTGTGTGTGGTTTCTTCCTATATTTCATCATTCCATGGTGTGCAAGAAAGGGGGCTTCATATGCATGAGGAATGACGAAGTAAAAGATCCCTACAAATAATATGTTGAAGGAAATTCGCCGTGATGTCTGGGTAGGAACTGACTCTCCTTCCATTGGACGTGAGATCTTCCAACATGGACTTCAAATATCTACAACGGAAGCCCGTGTTGGACGTCAGTGCCGAGGATTTCTGGATAATATTGAAGCATTTTCGACATCAGATATTTATCCCGTGGCCGCATGTCAACAGAATCTCAGTTTCTCGATGTGCTGCACACAGGAGGAACGCGAAACGACAAGATAAGGGCATATGGGGAGAGAATTCAGAACGTTGACTGCTGCAGTCAGCCCTCTTGTTCGCAACCCTGCGTGTGATGACCAGGTGCATGATGCTTCTCATGCCAGCACTGTGAGGCATCTCCCAACTGTACAGCAAGCCTGCAGGTGTTATGTTGCTGAAGCCTGATGAGATGTGTTCCTGGATGAGATGTCGACTGTTCTCGGTCGGCTTTGCTCTGCCTCAGAGCTTGGCCCCAAAGCTGACAACAGTTGCAGATATTGACTATGAGGCAACAGTCAATGAATGCCGCATACAGGGTCTGTGGCTTGACATAATTCAACACAGCTAGGATAACTACTTATGTATTTGATAGTTAATTTAAGCTAGTAAAAATGGATGCATGAATGGCTTTTGGGGGAGGCTGGAGGCAATAATATAAAAAAAAGTGATGGTAGTGGTAGCGTGGGTAGTAGTAAGTGATGGTAGTGATAGCAGTTTGTAGATGATGGTAGTGTTGGAAGGTGATGGTAATGGTGGTTGGTGATGGTAGTTGTGGTAGTGATAATAGTTGTGGTAGGTAATGGAAGTTGTGGTAGTGATAGTAGTTGTGGTAGTGATCATAGATAATAAGTGGGTCATATTTTTCGTTACTAATATTTTACTTTGAATAATACAATAATAATAATAATAATAATAATGGTTCTAAGTGTTCGATAAATAATAATAATAAATAATAATAATAATAATAATAATAATAATAATAATAATAATAATAATAATAATAATAATAACATAACAATAACAATAATAATAATAATAATAATAATAATAATAATAATAATAATAATAATAATAATAATAATAATAATAATAATAATAATAATAATAATAATAATAATAATAATAATAATAATAATAATAATAATAATAATAATAATAATAATAATAATAATAATAATAATAATAATAATAATAATAATAACAATAATAATAATAATAATAATAATAATAATAATAATAATAATAATAATAATCTTTCCTATCTGGCATATGACATGCATAATGACATAAATGGAAATACTGACATGACAAAGAGAGTAGTCTTTTTAAATGACTATCAAGAAGGACCAGAGAATGAACGTCATGTATTGGTGGTAGTAGTGGTAGTAATGGTGGTAGTAGTGGTAGTAGTGGTAGGAGTTATCAATATTAAATGCTGAACAAACCCGCAAGTCTGTTTGTACATTTTTTCCTCCTTGATCCACAATCACAGTATAATGTACACACCACCACGAACTGTACTCTCCACTTATATCCAAAAAGTATTCACGATCTGATTCTTTTGTTGTGTAAATTTCAGGTCAGTTGACTTACCATTGTAAACATTTATATTCGTCTATAAACTCTTTATATTTCTGTGGGAATTTTACTTCTTTCAAGCCACTACAGCTGTATTATTCTCTCTCTCGATACACTTACTTTATACTCACGATTGGAGTTAGTTCCACAAGACGCTGTCGCCGCCCCGCCTGCACCAAATATTGCCCTCCACACACACACACACACACACACACACACACACACACACACACACACACACACACACACATTATCTATCGTTATTAATAAACTTCGAGTGACATTATTTTTATGAGGATTAGCTCGCCCATAGGACGCCGACACACATCGGCGCCTGGGAGGGGGAGGAGGTGGAGAAAAATAAATTGAAACCATAATCACACACAGAATGAAAATAAAAAGATCAAGAATTTTTTTTATTGGGCACCCCCACATCCTTGTGTAGGTGAAGCGCAAAACGTTTACAGAGCCCAACAGGGAAAGCATTAAGTTCATGCTCTTTATGTCTCATGAGTCAAGGGCGTAGAAGCCCGAAGAGTCATGTTTATGTCATCAAGTTATTGGAAGCTCCAACAACTTGTCCCTGAATACGAATTCGCAACTTTCGACTTACAACAGGTACCTACTTTACTGCTAGGTGAACAGGGACTAATGGGGGCTAGGAAGTATGTCCAAACAACTTCCACTGGCCCGGGAATCGAACCCGTGACATCTCGCTTGCGAGGCAAGAGGGGTACCGCTAAGATCAAGAGTGAGAACAATATAAGTATGTTGTGTTGCCAAGGTAAGAGAAACAATTGAGACCCCGCACTTGTGTGTAAATGAGGCAGAAAGTCAGATCAGGGTCTACCATTAGACGACATATTATGCTTCCAATATCTTCCCAGGTGGTAATACCTCCTTGTTTGGCAGCTACCTATTACCTCAGCGACTGTGGTAACTGCTGTATATAATTCTCCACCCTTTACATTACATTTACAAATTTGTTCATCTCAACGAACGAGAGAAAAAGAAAATACAATAACAAAAAATAATAAATTATACTAAAGGAGACGGACACTGATATATTATGGCGCCTATATTTGTTGTTGTTAATAAATAATAATAATAATAATAATAATAATAATAATAATAACAAACGGTTTATTAATAGAGTTGCAGCCGGTGTGCCTCAGGGGTAACACGTCATCATTTACAGGGAGGACCCATAGTACCATGATGGCAGGGAGAGACATGGTGATGGTGGTGGTGAGGATGGTGATGGTGGTGTTGGTAGTGATGGCCGTGTTGGGGTCTTGGATGGCGGCAGTGGCCATGGCCGGTGAGCCCTCCGTCCAATACATCTCCAGTACCAAATTCGGTAACTTTATGGTGGTACCGGGCAAGGCTCTGTCTGCTGGTGACTTTTACGGTGTCTACACCTTAGATAACGCATGTGAGTTACGTCATCGTCACGTTGTTTCAGAAGAGATTCAGTAATATTTTAATCTTCTCCAATTTTTTGTATTATTAATTTAAGACTTGCAATCACCTTTCTCTTTAAATAATAATTAGAGAATTTGTGATGAGTTTTGTGATTGTTTTGGTGTAAAATACATCATCATTATCAGCCGCGTAATTTTAGAACATTACTTATAAAAGATACTTTTACCTGTGGTGTTTTTCTTCACATATGTTAAGTAGATAAGTACTTAACCTTCAGTTCAACCCTCAACTTACACTGGAGGCTCAGAGACCATCTATGATATATCTATAAACTTATTCATTACACTGACGAAGGTTTTATCGGCCGTGTAGGTACGTGTCGCCTGGCGTGTTGGTCTGCCAAGCGGTGTGTGGCGGTAGCAGCGGTGCCAGATACAAGTGCCAACACGGTACAGTGCCACTTGTCTGAGATGGACCCATCAACCACACCCTCACCGACACCCCGGACGCCACCTACTACTTCTGGGAAGGTCAGCTGATGGTGAATCTTTCGTAATACTAATGTTAATTATTGTGTGTTTATCAGTGTTGTAGAGAAGCCCGTGTTGTGGGGGTCAGTGTCGGGTCCTGGAACAAGTTTCATATAATAAAATAATATATTGTCAGGTTGTGACTCAGTAAACAGTAAATTGTCTCTAAACAGCTTCGGTGCCAAACAACTTCTACGGGATCATGAAGGACAACTACTTGTATCTGGTGACGAAGCATCAAAGAACATTTACCCAAGGGAAGGAACTGTGCGCCAAGATACCTGGGCACCGCCTCGCCACCATCAAGACTGCTCGCCAGTTTGAAACAGTCACCGCCATGTTGAAAGTTAACAGTATGTCTTGGGGGTCGTGTGAACGCTTCTTATACGATGCCTCTGTTATTGTTGGTTAGGTTAGGTTAGGTTAGATAAAATTAGGTTAGTTGAATCCTTAGGTGATACTAAAAAGTTACTTCATCCTATAATCACTAAGACATATTACATTCTCACCTGTCAGATTCGGCCGTGTGGGTGGATTTGGTGAGGCCGGGGGCACCTGGAACACCTTTGGAGTGGGGAGATGGCACTCTGTACATGGAAGGCACCGTGACACAGCTGGCAACCGTCGCAACACACAGATCAGTAGCCTCGCCTTACTATCTCCAGTCGTCATTCTTCGATGATAAAAGTTATACTGTCATATTCAACATCCTGTGTCAGGCTAATCCACTCGGTCTAGACTGGTAGTGAGTAAGTCTGTCTAAGTCTGGAGTAATGGCAGGATGTGTGCCAGTCTGGAATGGTGGTAGTATGTGTGTCAAGACTGGGGTGGTGGTAGGATGTGTGTCAGTCTGAAGTAGTAACAGTTTGGAGTGGCAACAGTCTGGAGTAGTAACAGTGTGGAGTGGCAACAGTCTGGAGTAGTAACAGTGTGGAGTGGCAACAGTCTGAAGTAGTAACAGTGTGGAGTGGCAACATCTGGACTGGTAGTTACATTAAGCCTGAGTGTTTGAGAGTGAAACATTCAACTCTGGTAATATTGTCTTGTGTGTTAATGTAAATTATTATAATATTAACATTGTTGTCTTTATTTAGGCATTGTTAACATGTAAATGAAGGTATATGTATTACTCTTTACTAAATAGATTGTAAATGGAGGTATATTTATCACTGTTAACAGGAATATTCTCATAACAGTAATAACCAGGTAAAATTAACAGAAGCCATTCATGTTATATTCCTGTTAACAGAAGGTGTTAATACCTGAGTTAGGTCAACAGTATAGCTACAGCAACACGAGGCTCATTCTAACACATTAACTTACTGAATCGAAAGTTAATGATCTTAAGATGACTTTAGGATTATCTGTAAAGTTTTTGTGTCTCTTCAGCCAGTGATGGAAGTTACCTGTTGAAGATAACTTAATTATTGTTTTACCTTGTTTGTGCTGATGTTTGTTGTTTGTTTATGATGACACGGTGGATGGTAAGTTGTTTGGCTTGTTTCTGTTTACTTTCATCCGCCCGTCTCCCACTCTGATGGTGAATACTGTGTTTGTTGCTTAAATAAGGTGTTGGTTGTTTACAAAATATATAATGTGTGTGATTTACTTATACAGTCTACCTTGCTGTTCTGTGTATTATATGGTCTATAATCTATAAAATCTAGATAATTAGACATATTTACTTTGCATATATAAGTGTGTCTGTGTTGTAAAGTCATCCAAAAAAGTCCTGTAGCGAGCCATGAACCCCGAGATTCAGACTCGTGGAACCGAAGCAGTAGACACTGATACATTATTTTGTCCACAAATGCTTCGGATTCATGAGTCTGAATCTCGGGGTTCATGGTTCGAGACAGGACTTTTGTGGGTGGCTGTACTTTATATTTTGGAGTGATTTTTTAATATATGTCGTCAGCTGTTCAAAAACTTATTTATTAGGAATGTAAAATTTGTATTATAAAAGAAAAAAAATACATAACCTAAACTGACCTGACCTGATCTAATATAATCTAATTTAACGTAACTTGACCTGACCTGAAGTAACCTAACGTACTTAACCCAACCAAACTTAATCTAACGTAACCAAATCAAACCAAATATGTAAAAAAACCCAGCTATGATGACGCTCTCTAGTTACAGCACAAGAGGTTAATGATGATAACCTTATATGTAACTGTAGTGCCTATAATAATATATCCATGTTGTTTAATATAATGTGTGTGTGTGTGTTCAGTATAAGAGACATTTCATACACTATAGTTAGATTTCCTAAGGCTCTTATTACTTATCCAATCCAGATTTTGTAGAATAAAATGTTCAGGTGTTAAATTTTATGTTAAAAATAAGTCCAGATTAAATTTTTAGTTATATGTATTTAAACTGTATTATGAATGGGCTAGATACTCTCTCTCTCTCTTATGTATTTTGGTTCAAGAGAAGAGAGTAAAGTAAGACAAGAGTGTGGAAAGTGTCAGTAAAGAATTAAGATAACAAACAGTAATATCCACACATATTCTGGTTCTCTCCTCTAATATTTGTTTGTGTACTAATAAAGAAATTATATCAGTTTAAGAGACTTTCCTTGACTGTACTTCAAATATGTTTAGCAACTTTGTACTCAAGATAAAATACAATAAAATACGGAATTGTGATTAAGTACAAGTACCGAAGTATAATTTATTTCACTGCTCCACACCCCTAGTAATTACCTAACCTAACCTAACCTAACCTAACGTAATCTAACCAACAAACGAACACCCAGGAGCTCTCACGGACGGTGGTTACGTAAAATCCTAAAATTCACTAGATGACTGAAACGATAATAATACCGTAATTACTTCACTACTAACCAAAGTTTGTGATATAATTTATAAAATAAAATCTGATTCAGGCACAGTAAAAGTGTTTACAAGACGCCTGGTGACTTTTGTGTGGACCATACTGTTTCCCTAACCACTTAAACACACAGTTATAGGGTGAAACTCAGTAAGCCATGACTCGAGTTTAGTTCCCCCTGCCATTACCCGATGTACTCACGTTTTCTCGAACACACCGAAATATTTTCCTATAAAAACGAAAATTATCAGCAATACAATGCTTTACAATTAACTAAAGCATTTGAAGCAGACTACTACATCACACAACATTATCACCATCTTCATTATTATTAAGGTGTGATGTAGCTGCCTGGTATTTGTGTTTTAATCAAATAATTTTTTCACTACTAGCTTGGCCTGTCCTTAAACGTCTTCATTAAATGCTCTAGGGCTAACTACACCATCTGACAGTGACGTCTCTCATACTCACAAAAGACCTCACACTATCTCTCATACTCACAAAAGCCCGCATACTATCTCTCATACTCACAAAAGCCCGCATACTACCTCTAATACTCACAAAAATCCTCATAATATCTCCCAAACTCACAAAAGCCCTCATACTACCTCTAATACTCACAAAAGCCCTCATACTATCTCTCATACTCACAACAGAACTCATACTAACACCCCCGCCCCCCCCCCTCTCACGTGAATCAACGCCGTATCAATTTATTAAAAAAATCTCGACATTATTATTTAAACAGGAAAAACAAAACTCACCAAAATACTTGAACTTTATATTCCTCACCTGAGTCACTAGTTCACCTGGATGCATAATTACAGGTGGGGACAGAGGTGATATCCTATGATTAAGGCAGAAGGAGTAAATATCCATGACACAAACACAGTAATTGAGTTAGAGTGAATTTATAGCCAATATATGTAGATAATTTTACCTAATTGTTAAATTTAGAGATTTTGTGGATAATTAATTTATATTGAATGCAACTATTGGAGGCAGAAGTTAACATTGGAAAAAATAAGTACCCAAAATGTAGTAACTTATACAATCAATATCATTATATTATAGGTGTATTATATCATTAATATATGGGTATAATTATAGACAAACTTACATATAAAGACACATATGATCAATGTTCTCAATATATGAATCACACACATTATATATTTTGTAAACAACCAACACCTTATTTAAGCAACAAACACAGTATTCACCATCAGAGTGGGAGACGGGCGGATGAAAGTAAACAGAAACAAGCCAAACAACTTACCATCCACCGTGTCATCATAAACAAACAACAAACATCAGCACAAACAAGGTAAAACAATAATTAAGTTATCTTCAACAGGTAACTTCCATCACTGGCTGAAGAGACACAAAACTTTACAAATAATCCTAAAGTCATATTAAGATCATTAACTTTCGGCTCAGTAAGTTAATGTTAGGTGAGCCCTGTGTTGCTGTAGCTATACTGTTGACCTAACTCAGGTATTAACACCTTCTGTTAACAGGAATATAACATGAATGGCTTCTGTTAATTTTACCTGGTTATTACTGTTATGAGAATATTCCTGTTAACAGTGATAAATATACCTCCATTTACAATCTATTTAGTAAAGAGTAATACATATACCTTCATTTACATGTTAACAATGCCTAAATAAAGACAACAATGTTAATATTATAATAATTTACATTAACAACAAGACAATATTACCAGAGTTGAATGTCACTCTCAAACACTCAGGCTTAATGTAACTACCAGTCCAGATGTTGCCACTCCACACTATTACTACTCCAGACTGTTGCCACTCCACACTGTTACTACTCCAGACTGTTGCCACTCCACACTGTTACTACTCCAGACTGTTGCCACTCCACACTGTTACTACTCCAGACTGTTACCACTCCACACTATTACTACTCCAGACTGTTGCCACTCCCAACTGTTGCTATTCCAGACTATTGCCACTCCACACTGTTACTACTCCAGACTGTTGCCACTCCACACTGTTACTACTCCAGACTGTTGCCACTCCACACTGCTACTACTCCAGACTGTTGCCACTCCACACTGCTACTACTCCAGACTGTTGCCACTCCCAACTGTTGCTACTCCAGACTATTGCCACTTCACACTATTACTACCCTTCACTATTACTACTCTAGACTATTACTATGCAAAGGCCTGGGACTTAGGGATAGAAATCCCTTACCAGACCAATCAGTCTTAATAAAGGAAAGTCAAGGACCATGGTTTTCTGAGGAATAACAAACAACCGTTTGAGATGGACATCTCTTTACAATAAAAAAAAATAACACAAAACTCTAACACCACTCAACAAACATCAAGTAACAATTACGGGAGTCAAACAATTAATGCAGTAAACAGTTAATGGAGTCAAACAATTAATGGGGGTCGACAACTGATAGAATCAAACAATGAAAGGGAGTCAGCAATTAAAGGAATCAACAACAAAAGAATCAAACAATGAACAGATATTTCCTACGGCAGTGGCCCTGGGGGAAGGTTCTGGAACACGGTGATCCACACTCAGGGTAGGGAAGCGTCCATTCAACTCCACACTCGAGCGACTGTGGCAGATGTCTTGAAATGGCAGGAGAACACAGGGGCACAGACTCACAGACGGAGGAGATGAACTGACGGTCGTGGTATGCCGTAGTGGTAGATGACCAGAGAATTGACAGTCTATAGGTGAAGGTCTGGGGACACAGCCCACGAGTCCAGGACTTATGATGAGATCACAGCCAGAATTTGAGGAACAGCTGGGTAACTAGATAGTGACTGTATGGCTGTTGGGGTGAATCTGCCGGTGACACAGGTAGCCGCTGCCGTTCTCACCTCAGTCCAACCCCCCTAAGTGTTGGTCGCACCAGCAAATGAGAGAGTTAGCAGCGGTAATGAGCAGGGAGATCGTTTCCGCCCTTACATAACATTACATATTGTTACTACCATAGATTGTTAGTTGATTACTACTTACACTCTGATGCCAATCAGACTGAGCTACATACTGTAACTCTCAGAGGACTTTGCCACAAAACTCCCGGGCCCCAGGCCAGACATACTTGCTACAAAGGCCTCATGAGAAATTCCTTCACTACCAGTCTGAGCAAAGTGGAGTTAACCTGACACAGAGATGTAATAAGGTCGGGGTCTGATTTATCGTCGAGATTTTTTTGATGATCTTCTGGAAGCGGTGAACAGCTGCGCCAGGGCTCTGGTCACAACAGTTTTGCCAGCTGTGCAGTTGCCATCCCCGTACAAAGTTCCATCTCCCCACTGCAGGGAATTGATTTCCCAGGATCCCCCAGGCTTCTCCAGGTCCCACCACACTGGCCAGCCTGTCAGGAATTGAAATTTTGGTTATTTTTAACGATGCAACTTTTTCTTGAGATCATAGATACAAGCCTTAGCTAATTTTGTCTTCAGTTTCTTAACTTTACCCTCGTAACTGACTGACTAATTTAACCTAATCTAACCTAACTCACTAATCTAATCTAACATGAACTAACCTAGCATTAGTTAGCTAACCTAACTCACCAAATCTCATCTAATATGAACCCCAACCTAACATAAGTTAAGCTAACCTAATCAAACGGAAACCTAAAGCTAACCTAGCAACCAACTAACCCCTCAATGTAGCATTAGGAATTGATTTAAGCCTCCAGGTAAAATAAGCTGGTGGCGAAGAATCTTTATGCAGTTCCTGTTTTCCTTTAATACAACCATTGTCGTACCATCCTCCTAGAACCCACATCCAGGGGTACCTCGCCCTTATGTCAGGACGAATGACGGGACGACCAGAGATGCGTGAGCAGTAATAACACACTGACGGTCGACGGGTTATGCTGGACGAACAGAGATGCTCCGGTAACATACAATGTGGCTGAGGCC